GCACATGCCGACCAACGCTCATCGAGAATTTGCTGATGAAGCTGCTGAACACCGTGCCCGTCGTCGCTGGATCGAGCGCGAACGCGCCACCAACCCGAACCTCCCGCAGGAAGACGGCGACACTCAGTCTACAACTACGGCCACCTCTACGCCTCCCATCCACTCCGCCAGTGACATCATGATGGACTCCGATGCATCCGACCGTGACGGACTTCTTGGCCGCGCTGCTCTCCCTGCCAGTGTTGAGCACGCCTGGCGCGACCTGCGGTCCCATCTGGCGAACTCCACGGCCTCGATCTTCTGGCCAGTGGTCAAGACCTTGTCAGGCGCGTGGACGACCTCACACCGCATGCATGTCAATCCCCACAAGAAGAACTGCCTGTTCGGCTGCGACAAGAACTTGCAGGCCAAGAACACGGACGACATCAGCCACTACATATCGTGCCCAAGGATGTGGGTGCTCGTGGCTCAACCACGTGACAACCTGCTGGTGATGCTCTCACACGCCTGGGCCTCCACAAGAACGGCATCATCGACGACCACCCGAGGCACACAGTCGTTCGCATGGCCGTGGCCTTCCGCAGCTACAACATCATGCGGGTGCGCTCCGAACTGGGCATGCCTGCCAACCACGACGAGCTCAACTACCACAAGGAGGTTGTTGCCGCCGCCCGCCGCGCCCTGAGGCTCCCCGGTGCCTCGCGGGCGGCGCGGGGCCGCAGCGCCACTAATCGACGGACGTGCGCTCTCCCCAGCGTGTCGTTCGCTCCTCCTCCTCCTCCTCCTCCTCCTCCTCCTCCCTTCTCCTCCTCCTCCCTTCTCCGCCTCCTCCTCCTCCCCCTCCTCCTCCTCCCCATCCTCCGCCTCCTCCTCCTCCTCCTCCTCCTCCTCCTCCCTCCTCCTCCTCCTCCTCTTCCTGCTCCTCCTCCTCATCCTCTTCCTCCTCCTCTTCCTGGTGCTCTTCCCCTATTTCAATTTGCTCTCTTCCACCCCTGCCCCCTCTCATCAGTCCCTCCTTCCGTTTCCTCGAGGAATCCCTGCGTCCCAGATGGGATCCGCATAAATTGGATCGCAGGATCGCGCCGCAGCGCCGATGCATCGGTGATGCGGCTCGATGTGGCGCCCGAGTTGTTCCACTCCGTCGGCGCCGATGCACCGCCGACGTCGCCGATGCATCGTCGATGCGTCGTCGGTTCATCGCCGACGCATTGCCGATACATTGGCGATGCATTGGCGATGCGGTGCGGTACTCTGACTCCATTAACTCGGACCCTATCGAGGAGGCCTCCTACGTGGGGTTTCGATGAATGACGCGTGTTTTCCAGAAGCAGCGCTTGCATTCGGGGGTGCTGGTTGCATGTCATATGAGTTCGGCGGGTGTCCCGAAGGGTCGCCACGTTCCGGCTTGTTGTTGCCCCGGTGCCGCCCACTGACGCATGCGGGGGTGTCCCAAGGATTCGTCACGTTTTGGCCCGTTGCCGCCAGCTGCCAGCCGTTGCCGCCTGTCCCGAGGATGCAGATGTGCCTTTCCGTCGGAAAAAACCAAACCGCAGAGACCTTGGTTGCATCACACAGCTTACACATCCACGGTGCCAGAGGGTTATGTTCGGGGTCCACGCTGGCAAACACTTCTTCACCGCACCTGAGAACGCCCCCGCATTCTCAGAAACCCCCCGCCTTCGTAGAAACGCCCCCCGCCCCCTTGCGCCACCCCTTTGCGGGCGTCGCCAACGGGAGCGGAGGAGCGGTGTCGCCCCGGGTCCGTGCGACAACGACTCGGGGTGAAAAGTTGGTCCCCGGGAAGAGGTTTTGGAATTCACGTTGTGACAAAATGGTGACTTCGGATGTCTGGGGTCAAGGAGCGTGGGGCGAGGTTTGGGGACCTCGAGGCACGGGAAGGTCACAATGAAGAGAAGGGGTCCTGAAACTCTCTGGCCGTGTTCTGATTATTGGGGCCCTTCCTGGGGCCTGGGCCCGTCAGGAAATTGCTTGAGCCGCAGAGGAAGGATCCCCGGGGCATCCAGGAACCCGTTCCCTCATGACCCGTCTGTGTCATCCCAGCCAAGAAGGGGCTTGATCGCCCTGCCCCAGTACAGTCGGGGCCCTGAAGAAGGAACCCTTTTTGTTGGGGAGGGGCTCTGTGTTCCTTAGTTGCTCTACAGTGTTCCTTGGGTTTTCCTGAGGTTTTCCATGGAACATCGGAGTTTAACTTATGGGAAAAAGGGGCCTCGTTCCTTATTCATCGTTCCTTAGGTCAACTCCCCGACTGTATGTAAAGGAAAGCAGGTTGGACACATTACGCCATGGTGGTCGACCAGACTCTGCCGTTCACACGGGCGGCGCGTGCCAGTGCGAGTGGAGTCCCTGCCCCTCCCTTCATTACTCCCCCCCCCTTTCAAGGGGGTCTGTTCTTTCCCTACCTCCCACGCCCCTCCGCCATTGCGCCGGCGACGGGGAGGGGAGGTTCAAGCCCCCTCCCCCCACGCCCGTAAGGGTTTGAAGCAAGTGCCCTGGAAACAGCAGTTTTCAAGGTCAGCCCGCGACAATGGAAGAGCGTTCCACAGTTTCGTGTACAGCGAAGCCAAAGGATTGCAACGTGATTCCTTCGTTGGCGGATTACAAAGAGAATTCCTTGGTTGGCGGATTGTACATTCATTCCCTCTGTGGCGGATTTCAAACGGAGTTCCTCTTGCGGCGGATTACAAGAGGAGCCCTTTTGTGGCGGATTTCAAGTTGATTCTTTTCGTGGCGGATAAGAAGAATATTTCTTTTTTAGCGAATCAAACAATTAGCCCAGCGACGAACCCAACCACATGCAGTTGTGGGCACAGCCGTTGTATGCACCGCATTCGGTGGGGCTCCCTACGAGGCCGCGAAGCGTGTGAGAGCTGTGCCAAAATGGGCGTGGAGCACGCGTGCGAACGTTTGCATTTAAACATTCGATGGGGCTCCCCATGGGGCCACGAAGCGTGTGATGGGTGTGCCAAAATGAGCGCGGTGGGCCCTGCGAACGCTGGCATTTGGGCCTTCGATAGGGCTCCCTATGGGGCCACGAAACGTGTGAAGGAGTGTGCCAAAATGGGTGCGGTGGCCGCGTGCGAACGCTGGCATTTGGGCCCTCGGTGGGGCTCCCTATGGGGCCACGAAGCGTGTGAGGGGTGTGTGTGCCAAAATTGGCGTGGAGCACGCGTGCGAACGGTCGCATTTGAGCTTTCGGTGGGACTCCTTTTGGGGCCACGAAACGTGGAAGGAGTGTGCACAAATGGGTGCGGTGGCCGCGTGCGAACGCTGGCATGTGGGCCATCAGTGGCGCTCCCTATGGGGCCACGAAGCGTGTGAGGGGTGTGCCAATATTGGTGCGGTGACCGCTTGCGAACGCTGGCATTTGGGCCTTCGATGGGGCTCCCTATGGGGCAACGAAGCGTGTGACGGGCGTGCCCAAATCGGTGCGGTGGCCGCATGCGAATGCTGGCATGTGGGCCTTCGGTGGGGCTCCCTATGGGGCCACGAAGCGTGTGAGGGGTGTGCCAAAATGGGTGCGGTGGCCGCCTGCGAACGCTGGCATTTCAACATTCGATGGGGCTCCCCATGGGGCCACGAAGCGTGTAATGGGTGTGCCAAAATGAGCGCGGTGGGCGCCTGCGAACGCTGGCATTTGGGCCTTCGGTGGGCTCCCTGGTGGGCCACGGAACGCGTGACGTGTGTGCCAAAATGTGTGCGGTGGCCGCGTGCGAACGCTGGCATTTGGGCCTTCGGTGGCGCTCCCTATGGGGCCGGGACGCGCGTGAGGGGTGTACCAGAGTGGGTGCGGTGGCCGCATGCGAATGCTGGCATTTGGAACCCTCCGTGGAGCTCCTCATGGGGCCACAAAGCGTGTGAGGGGTGTGCCAAAATGGGTGCGGTGGCCGGTTGCGGACGCTGGCATTTGGGCCTTCGGTGGGGCTCCACTGTGGGGCCACGAAGCGTGTGAGGGGTTTGCCGCATGCGAACGCTGGCATTTGGTCCTTCGGTGGGGCTTCCTATGGGGCCACGAAGCGTGTGAGGGGTGTGCGAAAATGGGTGCGGTGGCCGCGTGCGAACGCAGCCAAAGGCTGTGCGATCGTCGTCAGCATCGTTTGCGAGTGTTGTCGTTCTTCGTGCCCCAACGTGTAGCGAACATCGCACGTGCCGCCCCTTGATCATTGGCATCACCGTCCTCTTCTTGTACCCCATCATCACCATCATCTTCATCATCAGCATCACCATTATTAGATTCACCATCATCGCTGGCATCCGCAGCGGTTTTGGTTCAAGCCGTGTTGGCATAAACGAAGTGTGGGTCCGAGCAGGCCGCGAGGGAGCTCCGCAGCAGCGATGGGCAAGGTTCACGGAAGCCTGGCTCGCGCTGGTAAGGTCAAGAACCAGACCCCGAAGGTCGCCAAGGCGGAGAAGAAGAAGGTTTTGACGGGCAGGGCCAAGAAGCGTTTGGTGTACAACCGGCGTTTCGTCACCGTCGTGAAGGGCGGGCCGAAGCGCGGGCCGAACTCAAACCAGAAGTGAGCGGATCCCGGCAGCGGCAATTTCGGCTCCGCGGCGCGCGCCTCGGGTGCAACTGCCACTGCCGTGAGCAGAACGTGGCCAGGCACCAAAAACACGTCATCACACGTTGCGCACACATGCGCCGCCTGCGCCTTGGGCGGCCGGGGTGACGGCGCACGCTCTACATAGCGGGAGCGGCATTTGGAGCATCATTGTCGTCATCATCGTTTGCTGTATCGCCATCGTTTTTCGCCGTCTTGTTGCTCCTCTGCTGGCCCCCCCATTCGGGGGTGGACAGACCTCCTATCCTGACACGTCGATTAAGGAATTAACCGATTTCGGTTCGCGAGAGGGCGTCGCGGCCGTCATTTTTGCGGGTTCGGGTCCGTCGGTTTCGGTCCCAGGCCGTTTTCACCAAAAGGAGGTTTTCACTAAAGGGAGGTTTGTCCACCGCCGACCCATGGCGGCACGACGGCCCTCAGGAGCTCTGGGCGGCAGCCCCCGCGTGTGGGGCCGAGCTCGAGGAGGTGGTCGACGGCGCGGCCTCTGCCGGTCTGCTGCCCAGCGAGGCTTCGCCCACCCCCCTTTGTCCTTCGGCGTGAGGGGGTGCGGCGCGAGGGAAAGGGCTCCTCCTCGTCCTCCTCCTCCTCCTCCTCCTCCTCCTCCTCCTCCTCCTCCGCCTCCTCCTCCTCCTCCCCCTCCTCCTTCTCCTCGTCCTCCTCCTCGTTTTCCTCCTTCTCCTCCTCCCCCTCCCCCCCCTCCTTCTCCTCCTCCTCCTCCTCTGCCTCCTCCTCCTCCTCCTCCTCCTCCTTCCCTTCCACCGGCGCGCGGGTTTGGAGCCAGGTCGGGGTCTGAGGTGGCCCAGCTCTGGTTCCGGCGAGCAGGACGGGGGGGGGGGTGAAAGGGGGGTGTGGAGGGCGAGGTTCGAGACTCTGGATTCGGGCTCCGGGGCTGTCAATAACATGTCCGGGATGAACAGTTGCACCTTACGGACCCCCCAGGGGTCGGGACGGATGTTGAGCGGATGTGGCCCCGTCCCGCCATCTTGATACATTTTTTGGTGCCCCATCCTGATGGGCATGTTTTTCACCACCACCACCATAAGTTGGAGGGGGGAAGGAGGTGGAGGAGGAGGAGGAGGAGGAGGAGGAGGAGGAGCACCCCCTCCCCCTCCTACTTCTGGTGGTGGTGGTGGTGGTGGAAACAGGCCCCCCACCATCCAGTTCAGATCCCCTGGTCGTCTCCAAGGAGAGGGAGTGGTCTCAGGACGGACCGCGCGGTGAGGTCATTGGGGAGTCCAAGGTCACCACGCGGTCCGTCACCACGCTGTTCGCGGGCCCCGAACCAGCCTCCGTTCAGAGGTGCGAGGTGTGAGGCCTGGCCTCGCGCGCGCGTCGAGCCTCGAGCGGGTAAACATCATTCCCCAATCAGTGCTTGCACTGAAGGGGTCCTAGCGGCTAGCGGAGGTTGAAAGATTGGGCGAAAGTTTCCCGCCGATTTTGGTGGCAAGCTTGGTTCCTGGGCTCCTGGTTCCGGGTTCCCGGGTTCCCTGTTATTGGTTCCGGGCCGGTTTCGGTCGGTTTTGCTTTCCCGGGCTCCCTGGTTCCGGGTCGCTCTCCTCAGCGAGAGCCATCCATTGATTGTGGTTGTTCTCTGGTATAATTAGAAGCATGTGGTGACTGGTTTCTGAGTCAGGGTGCAAACTTGAAGCCTGCTGGGATGCTTTTCTGGCCTCGCGATCGTGCCCAAGCGGGCTGAGTATGTGTGAATGCGCAGTGCCCGCCTACCTTCGCTGTACAACGGACACGGCGAAGGGCGACAGATTTGTAGGCCAGGGGTGGCACGGAACGGGCTGACACTGGCCATGGCCTACGGGGTGTGTTGGGGGAAGCGTTGGATGAGGAGGCTGCCCGTTAGGGTTGTGGAGGGCGATCAATGGAGAGGAAGCATGTTGCCAAATAATTTCCAGATGTCTAAAGCATGTCTTCAGCATGTTTTAAACATGTACAAACATGTTTGAAACAAGTTTGGAACATTGCTCTTAGATTTTACACATGTAAAATTCAATAGGGTGTCCATTGTCGTGGCATCCACAACGTTAGGGTCAGGGCCAGAACTTGGCGCGTCCTTCATGCTCTTCCCCAGATCGGATGACCCGCGGGGAGCTTCCCACGACAGGCCACCCACGGGCCACGATACCTGCCCAGCGCCCCTGTGTTGGGGTCCCAGACGGCCCCGCGACATAGCACCAGCCCGCGTCGGTGATCGGAGCGCTCTGGGGCGACCCGGAGCCGCCGGGGCACCTCTCGGAGTCGCTGACAGCTCTCGCGGACTTCCCCCGAGCTGGGCGCTCCATGGATCGTCCTCCACAACACTTAGTGTTGTGGAGGACGATCAATGGAGAGGAAGCATGCTGCCAAATCATTTCCAGATGTCTAGAAGATGTTTCAAACATGTTTTAAACCTGTTCAAAAGCATGTTTGACAAAAAAACGTATAACATGTTCTTAGATTTTAAACACATTTTAATTTCAAGGATAGGACTGTTAGGGTGTCCATTGCCGTGGCATCCACAAGGGAAGTGAGAGGGGGCCAGCCTTCTCAGAGGGGGGCGGGGATTCTCAGGGGCCTTCCGGCTTTTCGAGGCTGGAGGTCTGCTGGGCTTTCCGAGCGGGCTTCCCCATTCCTTCAAGCAGTGGCGAAGCGTCCTGGCTTGCCTACGTCTAGTCCTACCAAACAATGTTCTAAGGACCTTTTGTGGTTTCCACGACACGTTCTTAGAACATGTCTGGCTCGGCCTGTCTTGATTTATCACATCGGGCTTCTGTTCTAAGAACATCGTTTTTGCTCTTGGGCCATTTTTGTGTTATGAGCACATTCCGTGGTAGGACTATAGGAATGCCGGGACGGTCGGTCCCTGCTGAACTTCCTGCCTCCCCATGGAAATGGCCTATGGAATGCATGGTCGACGTCGTCGGCGTCCAGAGGGGCGACGGGCAGAAGCGCCCAGTGTTTCCGGCCTTTCGGGGTTGGGATGGGTATGCGTCCACTCATTGACCGCTTTGGGGACACTTTGTTTTGTAGGTGTTGTGGCTGATTTGGGTTCGCTGGAATTCGCATGTTCGGCTATTTTACCAAGCTGGGCGCAAGCACTGTGGCGCCCTTACCCTGCGTGGCAGCGTTTTTTTGTCCAGGATTTCGAATCTGCCAGACCCTTGAATTGTACCTGTCTGCTCGCTTCCGCGAGTGCCGCGCCTGGCTCGTGGTTCAGACGCCTCTTGCAGGTTTTGTTGTGCCTCGAGGCTTCCAGGAATTCCACGTGGGCCTCTTGAGTCTCTATCGTGTCCTCTTGGGGTCATCTGGGGGGTTTCTGAGGGGTCTCTGGGGGGGATCCTATTCTTGGGAAGCGCTCAGAATTTCATTTCAGGCTTCTTGTCTCTTCCATTTGGGATGATCTTTGGGTTCCCGTGGTTCTCTTTGGCCTTTCCAGGGGCTTGGCGGCCGTCTGAGAACGACCTCGGAGGCCCATTGGGCCGTATTGGGCGCTTCCCTTGTTCCGAGCAGTTGCGGTGCTGAGGCAGCATGCGGGCAGCCTTTCCCGTGGACGCTTGGTGGAACAGTTATTCATCCGTGGTCCAAGCCCTCCTGCCCCGACCCCTCTTCGAATTTCGGTGCAGTCGCCCGGCACCTGCGAGATCTGACATGCAGCATAGAGCGCAGTCCAAACATACCTAAAACACCACGCACCAACAAAACACGACGCACACAGCCAAGCCAGCCAGGACAGAAACATGGCTACAGACCGTAGAAGGCTGACAACCGAAGTGTTGCAGAACGTTGGCCGTTGGCCCCTTCGGCTTGGGGTCTGGCCTCATCTTGAGGATCGCCGCGAATGTGCCTTCAGCACTAAGCAGACTGTCTGTCAGGGTTCTGCATGAGGCTTTTTAGTAATCGAGCAAGTGGTTTGCCGTATCCGGATTCGGTTGGGGGTCGCGGTCTCCTGTATGTCTTCCAGCAGAGAGCAAGAGGTCGGGTCGACGTGGAGGGCGACCGCGTCGACGTGGAGGAGGAGGAGGAGGAGGAGGAGGAGGAGGAGGAGGAGGAGGAGGAGGAGCACGGCGGAAAGAATCGTGGTATTGGACGCACGTCGCCGAAATGATGCCCTACAGATACGTTTCCTGGGAGGACGGCCTGCTCGTCGGCCACACTGCGCCGCGACAGTAAACAAATCCGCCAGATATTCCAGAAACAATCCCGACTTCGGCGGGGAGTTTGTGTGCTTTCGCTCGTTTTTTCAGGGCCCCTCACCGCCTCGCAGAACGGCCATGCCAGCAGAAATACGTACATATTCGAACAAGGTAAGGGGCATCATTCCATCGCCAGGGCAACGTTCACTCTTATGTTTTGTGCGTTCGCAATCACCCGTCGCGATTGCCGTACTATTTTTACAACTTCCCCATTGGCTTGTTGCAATATAAGGATTAGTAACCAATCTGTTGTTTATCTTACTGTGGTTCTAACCAATCTATAGATTATCTTACTGTGAATCTAACCAAACTAATGACGCATCTACTGAGCATTCCGCCATCTCCTACGACAGCTGCTACAACTTCCATCATGCATTGGCAAACCTATAAACATTGTTCTGAAGTCAACAGAATCGGTCAAAGCTTAACCTTGGTTTAACAGAATCTATCAAACAAGATGTGTGCCGCCCTCGCGTCTTGTATATAGGTTCGGTTTTACAGTTCCGACGTCCACTCCGAATGATTCAGTCGGAAGGTGGCGGCGACGAGGGTTGCTGGGCATGGTCGCAGCTGTCGCGCCCGCCTCTGATGGCAGAAGCTGTAGCTCTTTATTTCTGGGGTGTTGGGTGAAGCTGTAGCTCTTTATTTCTCCTGCTCCTCCCCTTGCTCACCCCCCATCCCGCTTTTCATTCTCCGTGCCCCCCCCCTCCCTTCTCCCTACTCCCCACTCCTTACCCCCGCCACTCCCTACCCCCTACTCCCTACTCCCTACTCCCTACTCCATTATTCCCGTTTCTTCTCCCCCGCCCCCTCCCCCCCCCTCCCCCCCCCCTTCCCCTTGGGAATGAGTCACTATGGCCAGCCACAGTGGTCTCGTGGAGCCGCCTCGGGCCCTCTTGGGCTTGTCTCCAAATCCCCAGGCCCCAAGGCAGTTCCAAGAGGGCCCCGGCGGGGCCCTGGAGGCGATCATTTTGAGGGGAGCTCGTTGTGACCCCCCGAGTTCCCCAGTGCCCCAGTGCCCAGTGCCATCTTGGCTCTGGGCTGGGGGCTAGGGGCTAAGGTTTAGGGCTCTCTTGGGGCCGTGTTGGGATTCTCTTAGGTCTTAGGTCTTAGGTCTTAGGTTTTTCTTAGGCCTGCTTCAGCCCCTTTTGGCCCTCGGTCCTCGGTCCCAGGTCCTAGGTCCTGGGACTTCGGAGGAGCTCCAGATGCGTTCAAGAGGGACCCAAAATACAACCCCCGACATGGGGCATGTAACAGGGCACTCTGGATGCCGATGTCGAGTGGCCCTGTGAACTCCTTCGCGGGCCGATCTTGGGGCCGCCTTG